CATTTTATCTAGAATGTGTTAGCATATCTTTCTCCTAGCCTGCCAGGAGCACTGAATAACCTAGCAGGAAATGAAACTACTTCAAGAAAAGCTGTCCTCAGTGGCTAAGAGAAAGAGTATATAGGTGTCTCCATGGGGTAAAGTTCCTTCGGTGCCTAGGGTTGCTGCCTGAGCTGTGGAACAGGTTGGCAATAGGACATGTGCAAGCAAGGCAATCAGAAAGTTCACAGGAGTGACCTGGAAGGTTTAGGCCAATGTCTGTGTCCAGTAGGACCTTGCAGGAATTTCTCTTGCGAGTAGAAGAAAGTATAGAAAAGGGAACAAACCCTAAGCAAACGAAGTACACATATAGGCTGTGAAACTGCCTCTGTCACGGTTCCTCCCCAAGAGAAAGAATAGATAAACAGAGGTGAGGCCAAGAGTAAAGATAATCTGTATACTCTGTCTCTAACTTTCCCTCTCTAGTGACTCTCAAGAGTTTCTTCCAGCACTGCAGAGGAGTGAGTAGGGAGGCTCCAGTTTACTTTTTCTGTGTTGTTTTTACCTTCACTTCTGTGCATGGAAATTTTAAAGGATCTTTCCAGGATCTACCACACCCCAAGAAGGTTGGCAAATTAAATTATAAATGTCCATTTTCAAGAGAGCAAATATGCCTTGTGGCATTTATCATAAATGTCGAGGATTCATTATACAGGCTTCCACTTCCATTTCATTTCATGAAAAAGGTGGAGTTAGGGAAGTACAAGGGGTGTGTGTGTGAGACAAGCAGGATAAGGATGTTTTGGCAGCTCTTCAGGGACCAGAATTAATCAGAATCAGTGTGTGAGCATTCTGTGGACTCACAGTGATGATCTGCAAATAGCGATGACTTTCTAAGCCAAGAAGTCAGAGCCAGCTGTGGAGAATGGATCTGGTACCCAGACCTCAGCTTGTAGGCTAGTTGTCAAGGCCAGGAAGACGTTTGTCTCTGTGTGTGTTGTGGGAGGGAAATGGATTATAGATAGAATGATAGCCATGTAGTAAATTATTCCAGAATCAGAGTTTTGTCACAGAACTATTTAGAAGCTTGGATTATGGATTCATGTATGATTTTCTCTGAATGTCTGTACTGAAGGACATTTAACCTAGACTAAGAAGTCTTCACAAAGGGAAGAGTCCCAAGGATTGGGAAAGTCCCAATCTTAGGCTCTTGTTTTCTAGGTCTGCTGATTAATATCATACTTAATCTTCAGAGGAAATAAGCCGGTGTGTGCATTGAGTGTCTTTGCATATGCAAGACATTATGCTCATTCAGGATTGGGGCATCAATCACTGGAGCGTAATAGACTTTGTCAGCCTCATAAATTCTGGAATTTAAAGAGTTAAAGGATCACTGCCCACTTCATTCTTTTTTTTTTTTTTTTTTTTGAGATAGGGTTTCACTCTGTCACCCAGACTGGAGTACAGTGGTACAATTATAGCTCATTGTAGCCTCAACCTCCTGGGCTTAAGTGGTCCTCCCACCTCAGCCTCTGGAGTAGCTGAGAATACAGGCATGTGCCACCACACACAGATACCTTTTTTATTTTTATTTTTTATAGAGGTGGGGTCTTGCTATGTTACCCAGGCTAGTTTTGAACTCCTGTCTACATGTGATCTTCCTCCCTAGGCCTCCCAAAACACTGGGACTACAGGCATGAGCCACTGCACCTGACCTATCACAACTTTTATATTGTCTCTAGATGTGTTGCATTCTTCTTGGAACCTAACTAATTACATTTTTTTTTTCTTTTCTTTCCTTTTCTTTTCTTTTTTTTTTTTTTTTTTTTTTTTTTTTTTTTTTTTTTTTTTTTTTTTTTTTTTGAGGACGGAGTCTTGCTCTGTCACCAGGCTGGAGCGCAGTGGCACAATCTCAGCTCACTGCAACCTCCACCTCCCGGGTTCAAGCGATTCTCCTGCCTCAGCCTCCCACATAGCTGGGACTACAGGCACCTGCCACCATGCCCGGGTAATTTTTTTTTTTTTTTATTTTAAGTAGAGACGGGGTTTCAGCTTGTTAGCCAGGATGGTCTCGACCTCCTGACCTCGTGATCCGTCTGCCTCAGCCTCCCAAAGTGCTGGGATTGCAGGCGTGAGCCACCGCACCTGCCTAACTAATTACATTCTTGTGAGAGGTTCTGTTTTGGAGGCAGATTGCTTATTTCTTTTTTTTTTTTTTTTTTTTTTTTTTTTTGAGAAGGAGTCTTGCTCTGTTACCCAGGCTGGAATGCAATGGTGCGATCTCAGCTCACTGCAACCTCCGCCTCCCAGGTTCAAGTGATTCTCCTGCCTCAGGCTCCTGAATAGCTGGGATTACAGGCGCCCGCCACTACGCCTGGCTAATTTTTGTATTTTTAGTAGAGACATGGTTTCACCATGTTAGTCAGACTGGTCTCGAACTCTTGACCTCAGGTGATCTGCCCACCTCAGCCTCCCAAAGTGCTGGGATTATAAGTGTGAGCCACCTCGCCTGGCCGTGTTTGACTATTTCTATCTTTGTGTACATAATCAGCTACATCTTCAGACTGCTATTGATTGGCTTCTGGGTGGCAACAGCACCTTCTGGTTTTTTTGTTTTGTTTTGTTTTGTTTTTTTGAGACGGAGTCTCGCTCGTCGCCCAGGCTGGAGTGCAGTGGTGCAATTTCAGCTCACTGCAAGCTCCGCCTCCTGGGTTCACGCCATTCTCCTGCCTCAGCCTCCCAAGTCGCTGGAACTACCACCACGCCCACCACCACGCCCAGCTAATTTTTTGCATTTTTAGTAGAGACAGGGTTTCACGGTGTTAGCCAGGATGGTCTCGATCTCCTGACCTCGTGATCCGCCCATCTCGGCCTCCCAAAGTGCTGGGATTACAGGCGTGAGCCACTGCACCCAGCCCACCTCCTGTTTCTTATAGATAAATTTGATGTTAGAATTATATTCCTTGGGAGGCCGAGACGGGCGGATCACGAGGTCAGGAGATCGAGACCATCCTGGCTAACACGGTGAAACCCCATCTCTGCTCAAAAATACAAAAAAAACTAGCCGGGCGCGGTGGCGGGCGCCTGTAGTCCCAACTACTCGGGAGGCTGAGGCAGGAGAATGGCGTGAACCCGGGAGGCGGAGCTTGCAGTGAGCTGAGATCCGGCCACTGCACTCCAGCCTGGGCGGCAGAGCCAGACTCTGTCTCAAATAAAAAAAAAAAAAAAAAAAAGAATTATATTCCAAGATGCCATTCTCATTAAACAACCACTGTTACAGTCTCTAAGGGTTAGAAATTCCCACCAGGTTAATCCCAGCCCTGCTATAACTTTTAAGTAGATTCCTTCTAGCCAAAGATGTGTTAAAGCACCTAGGATCATTAGGAATCATGGCATTCCTAGGATTTGGCTATTTCTTCCTCTCTTTTTCCCCACCCAAATTCATGGATTTTATGCCAGACTAATGTACTGTTTGCTGAACAATAGAATGGTAGGAAGCATAGTGTGGTGGTAGCAGAACATACCTCAGATGCTGGGCCTTGTCTTTCTCATCAGTCTGTGTGCTCTGTTACTATTGAAATCTGGCCCTGATTCTCTTTCATTACAGACTTTTAAATGAGATGAGAAAAAATAGAACTTTTTAAAAAACAATTTTAGCCAAGTGTAGTTTATGAGGAAGATCATTAATGCTCATTATATAAGATCATTATATGCTCATTAATAAGAGTTTCTCTTAGCACAGGATGCTCTCATCTAAACCACTAGATTTGTAGTGGTATCATAAGCCAGAACTTGAAAAGAAGAACCAAAGTCTTATTTATAGCCGTCTGCACTCTGGCAGGAATAGACATAGGACTAGATTAAATACAGAAAAGGTATTTCCTCTAAATGTTCTCCCTGCAACTCAGCTACTACTTTTTCTTCCCCCCCACAGATGGAGTCCCCTGTTTCCACACCAGCAGTGCTGCCAATACACCTTTTGGTGCCAGTGGTCAATAATGACATCTCATCTCCTTGTGAGCAGATCATGGTTCGTACCCGATCAGTTGGGGTCAACACATGTGATGTGGCTCTAGCCACAGAGCCTGAGTGCTTGGGCCCCTGTGAACCTGGAACTAGCGTCAACCTTGAAGGCATCGTGTGGCAGGAAACAGAAGATGGTAAGTGTGATATGTGGCTTTCCCATCCCTTCTCAACCTGCTTCTGCAGGGGCTTATTGTTGTAAATATTGCCAAGTGGTTATTAGAGTCTCAAGTGTCCACAGTCTGTGGGATATACCCGCACAGAGGATTTTAGCAGACTTAGCAAAATTTCCCAGCTTCTAGAGATTGCCAATACCAGTTTTTTAGATTAATTATCTTCCCTTCATAGCTATTCAACAGTGTTAATCCTGGTGCTTAAGCAGTCATGTGATAGGTGTTGGGGAGGTAATTCAAACTGTATCTGTATTCTCCATATCCCTTCTATTATTTTATGTGGGAAAGTTAGATTATAAATTAAATTTGAGGCCGGGCGCAGTGGCTCAAGCCTGTAATCCCAGCACTTTGGGAGGCCGAGACGGGCGGATCACGAGGTCAGGAGATCGAGACCATCCTGGCTAATATGGTGAAACCCCGTCTCTACTAAAAAATACAAAAAACTAGCCGGGCGAGGTGGTGGGCGCCTGTAGTCCCAGCTACTCGGGAGGCTGAGGCAGGAGAATGGCGTAAACCCGGGAGGCGGAGCTTGCAGTGAGCTGAGATCCGGCCACTGCACTCCAGCCTGGGCGACAAAGCGAGACTCCGTCTCAAAAAAAAAAAATAAATAAATAAATTAAATTTGAGGTCAGGGCTGAGGAGAAAAAGTAATAAAAGGGCAGCTGAGGGAGTCAAGGGGATGGAGAATAGTCACTCTTAAATTGACTTAATGTTGGCTCATTGCATATGCAGCTCTTGCCTTTTTTAACACCTATAGGTACAGCCAGCTCACTCCTCCCACTGATTGCCTCATTGCCCAGCCACCCACACCACTTCATGTATCTGTCACTTGGTACAGATTTTATAGGCTGAGGCAACGGGGAAGTGTTTAGATGGTCTTATTTTCAGGCATCCACTAAGCAGTTGGCTCACTGTAGGTTGCTGCTGCCCAAGGCATCCGGACTTCTTGCATGTTCCATTTGCCCCTGAGAATGGAATGTCTTCTGTTTTGGAAATTCATGAACCTGAAAAAATGGAAGGAAGTGTAAAGGGACTTAATGGAGTATTTCAGATCTTTCGGTAACATCTGGTGGCAATTTGATTTTTGCATATTCTTTTTATAAAGAATCCAAGTCCTTGTCAGAGTATATGTGGTTAGAGAGGCTGGGCCTCAGAGTCCCATCATGTCTCTGCATCAGTAACCAGACTTTCAAACTATCCTCACTCTGAGGAGTTTAGAGACCCAGAGGAGCGCAGCTAATCATCTCTGATTATCAGAGAGCTATTTTGTCAGTCTGCCCCTAGAAATTCAGGCATTTCATTCTAACAAAAGTCTGTTCCCCTGAATATTTTGTTGTCATTCAGTATTTATTTAAAGTTTACCATGCAATAGGTGCTGATGTGTTACAGTTTAAGAACTCTGTGTTCTTGTCTGTCTCATCATTAGGGATATAATACATCTTCAGCTTTCAGAATAACATTGCTAATGGGTTTTATTGTGTGCCTGAGTGGTAGATGCTGATGCAGAGAAGGTAGAGAGAGAGTTTAACTCTAGAGGTTGACTCTGGATATGTGTATAAAATATACAATCTGAAAATCACAAAGTGCCTATCTGATTTTTTAAATGTCATCTGCTTATGGACAAATGTCTGAATAGTCACAGTCTGTTGAAATGACAGACATATCCGGACCATATCTCTGTGCCACCAAGCAACCTTCAAGGCCTCTTGCTTCAGTATATTGAAGATAGAATAAATCAATTTCCTTCCTATTTGTTCTGCTTGTCTTTATGATGGTGACTCTTCTCCAAGAACAAGATGCTTTTTTTTATGTGAACCTAACAAAAACTTTGAGAGAGTGAGGCTAATGCTTTCACTCTCCTGAGGACAATGAATACCTTTTTATCTGACGATCCCTTCCTGCCAGGGCAAAATTAACACATAATTTTTTTTATTATTATTTTTTGTAAATCATTTGCTCTGAAAGGCTCTCAGGTTTGTCAGGTTGTCACAGGCAGCCTATTATTACCAAGTTCCCCTGTTATGTACTCTTTTTTTTTTTTTTTGAGACAGAGTCTCACTCTGTCACCCAGGCTGGAGTGCAGTGGCACGATCTTGGCTCACTGCAACCTCTGTCTCCCGGGTTCAAGCGATTCTCCTCTCTCAGCCTCCTGAGTAGCTGGGACTATGGGCGCGCACCACCATGCCTAGCCCATTTTTGTATTTTTAGTAGAGACGGGGTTTCACCACGCTGGCCAGGCTGGTCTTGATCTCCTGACCTTGTGATCCGCCTGCCTCAGCCTCCCAAAGTGCTGGGATTACAGGTGTGAGCTACCGCGCCCAGTCCAGTATGTACTCTTAAGGTACTCTATACTTTATTTCATAGCACACATCACAGTTTGCAACTTTGTTTATCATTTTATGATTTTTCTCTTAATATGAATCTCTCCTACTGTGTTCGAAGTTCTGAGATCAGGCAGTCTGTTTTGCTCACCATTGTATTCAAGGTACTTAACATAGGTGGCAACTGACACCTATAGTAGTAGACTGTCAAAAATACTTGTTTGAGGCCAGGTGCAGTTTATCACCTAATGTCAGGAGTTCAAGACCAGCCTGGCCCACATGGCGAAACCCCATCTCTACTAAAAATACAAAAAAATAGCTGGGTGTGGTGGCATGCCTCTGTAATCCCAGCTACTTGGGAGGCTGAGGCAGGAGAATCGCTTGAACCCCGGAGGTGGAGGTTGCAGTGAGCCGAGATCGCACCATTGCACTCCGGCCCGGGCAACAGAGAAAAAAAAAAAGAAAGAAAAATATATTTGTTGGAATGAAGGAATGCTTGCACCTATATTATTGTCATTTCTGGATCTATCTTAATATATATCTAGAGGATATTAAAATACTGCTTGAACTTAGGAATGGTGTCAAAATACTTCCCAAAAATCTAAATCTTCTCTGAAACTCAGAATAAATACGGCTTTCACCAGGTTTGAGATCAGTCTCGTTGTCTAAATCTGTAAGATTTTTAATCCTACTTTTAATACCAGGTTTTCTCCCACTTACTGTATTTCAAGGCTTAGCTCTCTTCTTTATTTTTTCTTTCATCCCAAGGGAAAGAGAACTGTCTGCAATAATATACTCATCTTTTCTTTGCTTTCTGGTCACCCCAGAGGGCCTTCACCTGAACTGTCAGTTGGCGAAGGTCTGAATTGGGATCACAGTTGGTTCACATTCCTTTTCATCTTCAGGTAACAGAGATTTCCTGCAAAGATCATTCTCTGAAGATCTGTAAGATCCAGTATACCGAGTCAGTCCTCAAGTTAATCATAAGAACTATATACAGATACTTTTAAAAAAATTCTTCCAGACTTCTAGGTTTTTTGTCTGCCTCTCGACATTTTGTACTTCTGTCTGTCTCTTTGTCCAGCAAACTACACTGTCTTCAAACAGAAAAGTCCTTACAGCTCAGAGAGAAGCTGTGAATGCTTGGCCTCTGAGGGGAATGGAGGACACTGAGGTCCCTGTAGAACTGAGCCACCTTGCTGAGAACAGGTGTAGGAGTCATGGCCTCAATTATTCCTAGTTTCTTTGCCTACTTGTCCTACAGTGTTACTTCTTTCTTTCCTCTTCTCTCCCTATCACTCACTTTAAACCTTGGATGCATTTTCAAATTCCTGCAGATTCCATTTCTTTTTAGGCTGTTCATAATTCAGTAAGCACTGCGAAGATCCTACTTGACTAGATTCAACCATGGAACTGTTTAGAAGACCCAAGTGTAACGTAGAATTTTTTTGTTTGTTTGTTTTTGAGACATCCTCAGCACTACATAAGGGCTAGTTCCACTGGATTTTGCTTTATCTCACCTCACTTCAAATCAAAATACTGAATACCTCCGAGGCGAGCGGATCAGTTGAGATCAGGAGTTTGAGGCCAGCCTGGCCAACATGGCAAAACCCCGTCTCTACTAAAAATGCAAAAATTGGCCTGTAATCCCAGCTACTTGGGAGGCTGAGGCAGGGGAGTTGCTTGGACCCAGGAGGTGGAGGTTGCAGTGAGCCGAGATTGTGCCACCGCACTCCAGCCTGGGCAACAGAGTGAGACTTCATCTCAAAAAAAAAAGAAAAAAAAAAAACTACCAAGTCTGTTCTGGGTTCACAAGGCTTAACTCTAATCTAGGATCCTGAAAAAATGTATAAGAAGCCTCAAAGCAGACTATGTACTTTTAGGGACACAAAATTGCTTACTGGCTTGTGAGGTATTTTAAAGAAAGGCAAGGCTGACTTTAGGTAAGAGTTCTAGGAGATGCTATAGGTTCTCCTTTTTGGATAGTAGCACTAACCCAAAGACCAATACCAGTGATGTAGTTTACTTTGGCAAATGTGCTTTATGGAAGAATTTATGGTATAGTGGAAGGAGCACTGGAGTAAAAATCTGGAGACTTCTATATCTCTGCCACTATCATTATGACCTTGGAAAAATCCTTTAATTTTCTGGGCCTTAGTTACCTCATCTCTTAAGTTGAACTAGGTGACCAATTAGGACCTGTCAGTTCTTTTTTTCTTTTTTTTCCTTTTTTTTTTTTTTTTTTCTGAGACAGGGTCAAGCTGTGTCACCCAGACTGCAATGTAGCAACAACATTATGTCTCACTGCAGCCTCAAACTCTTGAGCTGAAGTGATCCTCCTACCTTGGCCTCCTGAGTAGCTAAAACTACAGGCATGTGCCTCCGTACTCAGCTAATTTTTTGTAGAGATAGAGTCTTGCTACATTGTTCAGACTGGTCTCAAACTCCTGGCCTCAAGTGACCATCCTGCCTCAGCCTCCCAAAGTGCTGGGATTACAGGCGTGAACCACCATGCCCAACCTGTCAGCTCTTAAGTTATAAAAGTCTATGCAGGGCAGGCGTGGTGGCTCATGCCTGTAATCCCAGCACTTTGGTAGGCTGATGCAGATGGATCACTTGATCCCAGGAATTTGAGACCAGCCTGGGTAACATAGCAAGACCCTATCTCTACAAAAAAAAAATTTTTTTAATCTATGCCTTAAACCATGGAATCAGGGCCAGGCACAGTGGCTTGTGCCTGTAGTCCCAGCTACTCAGGAGGCCAAGGCAGGAGGATCACTTAGTCCAGGAGTTCAAGGCAACAGTGAACTATAATTGTGCCACTGCCGGGCGCGGTGGCTCACGCCTGTAATCCCAGCACTTTGGGAGGCTGAGGCAGGCGGATCACAAGGTCAGGAGATCGAGACCACGGTGAAACCCAGTCTCTACTAAAAATACCAAAAATTAGCCGGGTGCGGTGGTGGGCGCCTGTAGTCCCAGCTACTTGGGAGGCTGAGGCAGGAGAATGGCAGGAACCCGGGAGGTGGAGCTTGCAGTAAGCCGAGATCGCGCCACTGCACTCCAGCCAGGGGGACAGAGCGAGACTCCGTCTCAAAAAAAAAAAAAATTGTGCCACTGCATTCCAGGCTGGGTGACAGAGTGAGACCCCATCTCAAAAAAGAAAAGAAACATGGAATCAGCATGGATCCAACACTGGTTGACTCTGGCAACTTGAAAACGAACAAGTGGACTGGCACGGTGGCTCACACCTGTAATCCCAACACTTTGGGAAGCTGAAGCAGGTGGATCACTTGAGGCCAGGAGTTTGAGACCAGCCTGGCCAACATGGTGAAACCCTGTCTCTACCACAAAAATTAGCCAGGTGTGGTGACACATGCCTGTAATCCCGTCTACTCCAGAGGCTGAGGCAGGAGAATCCCATGAACCCAGGAGGCAGAGGTTGCAGTGAGCCAGGATGTGAGAGAATATGTGGCTCTCTGTCGAACGGGAGGAGCAGAGACTTTTTTTGAGACAGAGTTGCTCTCTTCTTGCCCAGGCTGCAGTACAATGGCATGATCTGGGCTCACTGCAACCTCCACCTCCTGAGTTCAAGCAATTCTCCTGCCTCAGCCTCCCGAGTAGCTGGGATTACAGGTCTACGCCACCACGCCCGGCTAATTTTGTATTTTTAGTAGAGATGGGGTTTTTCCATGTTGGTCAGGCTGGTCTTGAACACCTGATCTCAGGTGATCGCCCGCCTCAGCCTTCCAAAGTGCTGGGATTATAGGTGTAAGCCACCATGCCCACCCCTGCTCCCTATTGTAATAACATCCTGTCATCAGATTTATTCTACCACCATTTGACTGAAACATTTCTCATACCAGTTTTCCAGAGGTCTTCTCTCAGTCCTTCCTAGACTTCTATTAGCTCTCTTATTTCTTTATTCTTGAAACTCTCCTCTCTTGCCTTGGTCATAAATCTCATTTCTCTTTATAACTGGTTATTCTCTCTATTTTGTGCCAGTCTCTCATCCTCCTTGTATTCATTTAATCAGAAATTCCTGTTGAGATTCAGGATGCTGAAATATTGGTCAATTCAGTCCTATCAGCCTCTAGATAGGGTCTGTAGCAGCTGGTGCCCTGCTGCCTTTCCCACAGGCAAACAGACTTATCCACAATATATTTTTTCATTTATTGTGTGTGCCATAGTGGGGAAAGTTGAGCCATTGAGTTAGGAATGGCATTTAGCTGCTTGGAGAAGAAATGAAACTATAATAATGATTTAATATAAGAGAATTTGGAGGTATGTAGGTAAGTAGTCTAGGGCTGGTATGATAATATCACAATGGAATCACTGTTTCAGACTCCTTAAAGTTACTTCTTTATTGCAAAATTGCTTCTGTAGCTCCAGCCATCACATTTACTTTCCAGTCTTGAAAGAAAAGGAAGGTAGAAGAGAAAAAGCACCTGCCTCCCATCTTAGTCTGTTACCTTTGGAGAGGTTTCCCAGAAGCCACACCATAAGACTTCTGCTTACATCTTGTTCGCTACCCTGTGTGCAAGGAAGGCAAAGAAATGTAGCCTTTTAGCTGGATACGTTACTTCCCCACACAAAATAGGGACTCTTACTAAGGGAAAGGGGAAGAAATTGGCAGAATCTGCCACTCTTCTGCTCTGCATAGGCTTCATATATCATAACTTCCAAAAGCTATTACTTTAGCAGCTTTCTGTTGTAAGTACTCTCCTATATATCCATGTCTTTAGCTGTCTACCTTGTATGAACAATACCCAGAACTTTATCTCTATACTTGACCTTTTGCCTAATAGTTTCACTGATGAACATCACCAGAAACTGATTTATTAAATTCAAATGTCTAAAAAGGAGTATTCACCATTTTTTACCAAAAATTTCTTTCTCTTTCCTTCTCTATTTCTCTTCATTACACCTACATTACCATCCTCCTAATTTTCTTTCTTTTTTTTTTTTTTTCAAGACGGAGTCTCGCTCTGTCGCCCAGGCTGGAGTGCAGTGGCTGGATCTAAGCTCACTGCAAGCTCTGCCTCCCAGGTTTACGCCATTCTCCTGCCTCAGCCTCCCGAGTAGCTGGGACTACAGGCGCCCGCCACCACGCCCGGCTAGTTTTTTGTATTTTTTAGTAGAGACGGGGTTTCACCGTGTTAGCCAGGATGGTCTCGATCTCCTGACCTCGTGATCCGCCCGTCTCGGCCTCCCAAAGTGCTGGGATTACAGGCTTGAGCCACCGCGCCCGGCACTTTTTTTTTTTTTTTTTGAGACAAAGTCGCGCTTTGTTGCCCAGAGTGCAATGGCGCGATCTCAACTCACCGCAACCTCCACCTGCGGGATTCAAGCGATTCTTCTGCCTCAGCCTCCCAAGTAGCTCAGATTACAGGTGCCCACCACCATGCCCAGCTAATTTTTGTATTTTGAGTAGAGACGGGTTTTCACCATATTGGCCAGGCTGGTCTCGAACTCCTGACCTCAGGTGATCCACCCGCCTCAGCCTCCCAAAATGCTGGGATTACAGGCATGAGCCACCGCGCCCAGCACCATCCTCCTAATTTTCTAGGCTCAAACCTCCCTAGTCATCTCTTGACTCTTCACTCTTCGTCTCTGTATAATTGTTTAGTGGTTTCTCTAGGAATTACAATATATAGATTTAATTTTTTACAGTTTAATTAAAATTAATATCTCAAGTGGAATGTAGAAATCTTACTACCATATAAGTAAGTTCCGTTACTCTCCATTCTTTTTTCTTTTTTTTTTTTTTTTTTTTTTTTTTGAGATGGAGTTTCACTGTGTCACCCAGGCTGGAGTGCAGTGGTGTGACCTTGGCTCACTGAAACCTCCAAGAAGAGATGGAGTTTCACCATGTTAGCCAGGCTTATCTCAAACTCCTGGCCTCAAATGATCTGCCTGCCTCGGCCTCCAAACTGCTAGGATTACAGGCAAGAGCCACTGCACCAGGCCTTACTCTCCATTCTTTTGTTTTCTTTTTTTTTTTTTAGTTTTGTAAATTATTTTATTTCTTCCATGATGATTTAGAGGCACTGTCTTCAAACCAATACAAATATTTTATAAATAATATTCGGCTATTTTCTAACCAGTTGAGTAATTTGTTGCACAATAAGCTACCTCACATCTTTCAGCAAGAAATACATTAAATTTGAAAATAAAAACATTACATAATGAATTAGGACACAATTAAAATTTACTTTAAATATTTTTTTAGGGGAGAGGACACAACACTTCTACTCAATGAAGAGAAACATTTTTACAGTCCTGAGGTCATTTTTTTTTAACACCCATTATCCTGTGAATTCGTAGGGAAGAGGGTCCATCAGCTCAGGCGCCTTCCCATTGGTTCTCACAAAGTGTGCTTCTCTGGGTAGAGGCTGCTGCTTCAGGTGAACCCAGGTGCCTTTGGCTTCTTTCTTTTTCTGATCATTTTCCTTCACATGTTTCAGAAGCTATCTCGGCTCTTAGAGTGCTTAATGTGCTCAATACACACATTAATTCTCTTGGCAAGAATCTTGCCCTTGTTTGTTTACAACAATGCCAACAGCATGCTTGGGGGACACTCTAGACTCTCCAGTTTTGCCATGGTAACACTTGTGGGGCATTCCTTTTTGAACAGTACCAATTCCCTTGATGTCTACAATATCACCTTTCTTATAGATTCGCATATATGTGGCCAAAGAAACAACTTCATGTTTTCTTCTCTTTTTTTTTTTTTTTTTTTTTTTTTTCCTTAGACGGAGTTTCGCTCTTGTTGCCCAGGCTGGAGTGCAATGGCGCGATCTCGGCTCACCGCAACCTCTGCCTCCCAGGTTCAAGCGATTCTCCTGCCTTAGCCTCCTGTGTTCAAGTGATTTTCCTGCCTCAGCCTCCCGAGTATCTGGGATTACAGGCATGCGCCACCACGCCTGGCTAATTTTGTATTTTTTTAAGTAGAGACAGGGTTTCTCCATGTTGGTCAGGCTGGTCTCCAATTCCCGACCTCAGGTGATCCCCCCGCCTCAGCCTCCCAAAGTGCTAGGATTACAGGCGTGAGCCACTACACCCGGCCACAACTCCATATTTTCTAAAAGGCCTAGAGAACATATATCAGGTGCCTCTCTTCTTAACCTTTGTGTTTGTTGAATTACTGGAAGATGGCAGTTCCAATCAAAAAGCTCTCCATTCTTTATCTTGTAGTTGTCTTACAGTAGCACATTGCCTGCTTTTGTATGGCTTATGAGCTAAGAATGGTGTGTGTGTGTGTGTATATATATATATTTTTTGAGACAGGGTCTTGCTTTTTCAAGACGGGAGTGCAGTGGCACGATCATGGCTCACTGCGGCCTCAGCCTACCAGGCTCAAGTAATCCTCCCACCTCAGCCTCCCAAGTAAGTAGGACCACCAGAGCATGCCACCATGCCCGGGTAGTTAAAATTTTTTTTGGTAGAGACAGTGTCTTACTACGTTGCACAGGCTGATCTTGAATTCCTGGGCTCAAGCAATCCTCCCACCTCACCTCCCAAAGTACTGGTATTACACGCATGAGCAACCACACCCAGCCTATATTTTTTAATGGTTGAAAAAAATGCAAAACCCAAGAATATTTGTGAGGCATGAAAATTACATGGAATTCAAATTTCAATGTCTATAAATAAAGGGTGTTTTTGTTTGCTTGTTGTTTTTATTTTATTTTTTATTTTATTTTTTTGAGACAGAGTCTTACTCTGTCACCCAGGCTGGAGTGCCGTGGAAAAATCTTGGCTCACTGCAACCTGTGCCTCCCGGGTTCAAGTGATTCTCCTGCCTCAGCCTCCCGAGTAGCTGGAATCACATGCCTGGCTGATTTTTTTTATTTTTTAATTTTTTTTTTATTTTTAGTAGAGATGTGGTTTCGCCATGTTGGCCAGGCTAGTCTGGAACTCCTGACCTCAGGTCCGTCTGCCTTGGCCTCCCAAAGTACTGGAATTACATCCGTGAGCCACCATGCCTGGCTGTTGTTGTTTTATTTTGTTTTTTTGAGATAGAGTCTTGCTTTGTTTCCCAGGCTGGAGTGCAGTGGTGTGATCATGACTCACTGCAGGCTCAAGTGATCCTCCCACCTCAGCCTCCCAAGTAGCTGGGACTACAGGCACACACCACCATGCCCAACTAATTTTTTTTGTTTTAAATTTTTTTTGTAGAGATGGAGTCTCACTTTGTTTTTCAGGCTGGTTTCAAACTCCTAGGCTCTAGCAATCGTCCTGCCTCAGCCTCACAAAGTTCTGGGATTACAAGTGTGAGCCACCATACCTGGTCCATAAATAAAGTATTGTTTTTTGTTTTTGTTTTTGTTTTTGTTTTGTTTTGTTTTTCTGTAACCTTCTATTAGAAGTGACATGTTTTGTTTTGTTTCAGTTTTTGACACAGGGTCTCATTCTTTTGCCCAGGCTGGAGTGCAGTGGCGTGATCACAGCTCCCTGCAGCCTCCACCTCCCGGGCTCAAGTAATCCTCCCACCTCAGCCTCCCAAGTAGCTGAGACTACAGGCATGTGCCATCCCATCTGGCTAATTTTGTACTTTTTGTGGTGATAGGATATTGCCATATTGCCCAGGCTGTCTCAAACTCCTGGGCTCAAGTGATCCGCCCGCCTCAGCCTGCCAAAGTGCTGGGACTGTAGGCGTGAGCCACCACACCTGGCCTATAATATTTTCTTATGGAAATGAGATCTCACTGTGTTGCCCAGGCTTGTCTTCAACTCCTGGGCTCAAGCAATCCTCCTACCTCAGCGTCCCAAGATGCTGGGATTACAGGTGTAAGCCACTGGGCCTGGACCCATAAATAAAGTTTTATTGGAAGACAGTCATTCTCATTTAATGTATTTTGGCCACATTTGCCCTACAGTGGCAGAGTTGAGAAGTTGTAACAGAGACCATGTGGCCTGCAAGGCCTAAAATATTTGATATCTGGTCTTTTGTTGAAAAAGTTTAGCCGGGCGTGGTGGCAGGTGCCTGTAATCCCAGCTACTCGGGAGGCTGAGGCAGGAGAATTGCTTGAACCCAGGAGGTAGAGGTTGCAGTGAGCCGAGATGGTGCCACTGCACTCCAGCCTGGGGCAACAGAGTGAGACTCCATCTCAAAAGAAAAAATATATATATATATTTAAAAAAAAAAAGTTTACCAATCTCATGCCTCATATAGCCACTGCGCCTGGCCGAGAGTCTGAATGTTTAATTTTATTAAATTTAAATAGCCATATGTTAACTACTGGCTTATGGTATTGACAGCACAGGGGCTAGATCTTTAAAATATATATACACAGACATGCATATATATATATATATAGTGTGTGTGTGTCTGTATATACTCTGAGATGGAAAGAAGAGTAATTGTGTGGGAGTATGAAGAGGGTGGGTAAGTATCTGACATCTAAACAGACCCATGGTGACTTCTGTGTACTCTGGCCCCTGTTACCCAGGAGAACATTCGGCCCTACTTCAAACTCTGTGGTTGAGCCCTCTACTTTGGTCTGTGGGCTGCAGTTTTCTCATTATCAGAGTAATAGGCTATGGTTTTGCTTAGCAGGAAGTTAGTCTGCCTGTGGTAGCTCCACTGAGAACCTGCCCCAGCTATTCTTGATCCTCATCTGATTGCAGATCCCAGCTGTGGGTCATTATCCTTTTCACTAAAGGGAAGGGGCTCTCCATTAATCTTCTTTCATGGAAATGGTAACCTTCGTAGTTACCCTTGGTTTTTCCTGTGTGATTTTGATGTAGAAAAGTATGTGTGTGAACTGTGAAATATCTAATTTTAGATATTTGCACTGGAAAAGCAAGGTGGCATTCAGCTATTGGTTTTTCTTTCTCATATGCTATAATTAATGCCCCTTCACCTTCAGTCTTGCCCCAGGCAGTACTTACCTAGAGGAGAGATGGGGCACAATAACAACCAAGCTTTCTCCACTGTTTAGCCAATTGCATACCAGCTTGAATCTGGAAGAAATAGTTCTACCAATAGCACAGTCATAAAGAGCCTAGCAGCCATTGTCTGGCACCACAAATCTTCATAGCAACAGACCACCACATGGCAACAGCAGCCACACAAAGGAAACATTAGGGAAATCAGTACCTACTTTCTCCCACCCCTCCCCCACCAAAAACAACAGCCAACAGATTCCCACCAAGCAGCTTACTCCCAGAGGATACTTTAGAGCAGTGGTGTGTTTATATACCTTTGTGGATTGTGTTTTATGTCCACTGTCATACATTTAAATCCGGAAGACCTTGGGAAAAATTTCAGTCACGGGCTTTTTTGAGTTCCATTTTGCAAATGGCAAAATAGACTAATCTCCAGGGGAGAGAGATATTCTCCCCTTTGTGCACGCTCACCCATCTCCTCCCTCCCCCCAAACAAAGCATAGTCAGGCGGTATATATAGGTGACTAGGCTGTGAGCTTGCCAGATAGGTAAGGTCATTTGCAAATGAGATTCTTTTTATAGTTCAGTAACAAAACCCAGACCTATTGTTATCAAAATCATCCTGATACTTATGAATTCAGGTGAGTGATACCTAGGCAATAAATTTCTTACTGGTATTGCCTGGGATTTATCACTAGCCCTAACTAACTTAACTTTGAAGTATGATTCAAAGGGGAAAAAGTCCTATTTGAGAGTCTTGGTGTTTTCTTGCTCTGTTAATAAGGTCGTCGTTTGACTAGTCTGGGCCTTAATTTTCTTATTTGTAAAATGAGGAGGTTGGACTACATGATCTCTGTGGTCCTTCTAGCTCTGGTATTTACAATTCTGTAATCATTTATGTGGAACAGAAGAGGGAATTGTCTTTGTTAGTCATTGGTTGTGATGAGATCTGCTGGAAGATGTTGAGCCCTCTGGTCTTAGTGCTTACACTGCTAAAAACAGGTCCTGGCCCTGCCCTATTTGATAAAGCTGCTGTAACAATGATAGGCAGAAGCTATTAACAAAGTTGGCAACTAGCCTTTTCTCCCACGGCAGTAGTTTCAGACTAGTTCAAGCAGAGCTTTGCTCCCAAGCTATTGCTACTGAGGCTGCTGCTGCCTCTTAATGATACCGGTGAGAACTAACTCGATTTCTCTCTTTAACTCTCTCTCTCTCTCTCTCTCTCTCTCTCTCTCTGACTACTCTATGAAACAAGGGGCCGTTCTCCACCTCTTCTGATACCTCATTATTCCATCTCCCTCAGGCTTTACAGAACAAAGAAATCACAGGGCACCAACTTTATAATTTAGGCAGCTGGAGATAATTTCCCCAGGATAGGGTGGGTAGGTAGCTGATTCCTCCTGGCATTAGGCAGCATTGCTAAATGGCCTTGTGTTTTGTCTGCCAGGCTTATGCTTTGTTAGGCCCATTCAGGCTTCTCTGTGTCTCAGTTAAATTATAGTGGTAAACCAAGCCCGTGTACTTTCAGAGGGGTAAGGGTTAGGAAAAACAAGAAAAGTATGTCATTTATAGGCCCTGCTACTCGCTAATTGCTCAAGAAATTTTTGTTTAATCTACTATCCCTGTGCTTACTCCTGCCAGATCCTTTATTTCCTTTAGTTGCTGCCTTCACGGCCTTCTCCATAGCAACAAGCTATATGACAAAAAGGCTATGGTGAGAAATTGAGCAGTCACCCCTCCCCCAGATTGTACTCTATTTTCTCCTTAGGGTATCTAAAAGCAGCCCAAAAGACTGCTGTCAAATAATTTTCTACCCCCATTGAACTCATAATCAAATGAAACTTTTAACCCTGAACTAATTTGGTGAACAATCTGCATTCTCCTTATTTAACTCTGATTATCCCCACCTTTTTGAAAATTTTCTAGATCATTCAATATACTTGAAATACTGTGCATCTTCTCATTTATGAAGCTCCCTTTTGCTTTGTAGCTTTCAGTGTATTCCTTAGAATTATGCAGAAAATCTCCTGGAATGAAGTATGGAGAAAGAGTAGATGAAGAAAGCGGAACCCTCCCCTTTTCTGCCATGTGCTGTTGCCTTAGATACTAGACTAGTCTGCTGCCCTAGAGATTGGGCAAGTTGCCTAAAGTATAGAACTGGCCTGCATCTTAGCTAATCCTGGCATAGCCTAATCTGTTATCCTTTGTTATCTTCCCAGTCACTTGTCTACAGGAGTCACAAACCCAAAGGTTTTGTTTTTGTTTTATATTAATAGGTCTTACTGAAAGTAATATAAACATGTACCCAAATCCTAAGTGTGCAAGTTTGCATTTTCAAAGTGAACACACCATGTGGTACCAGCACCTAGATGAGGAAACACAGTATTGCCAGAACCCCAAAACCTCTTTCATGCCTCCCTTCTAATAGCTAGCCCTTCTCCTCACCCCAGGTAACCAATCTCACCATTAATATCATAGATTAGTATTTCCCATTTTGAACTTCATGTAAATAGAATCATTACAGTATGAGCTTTTTTATGTTGAGCTGTTCAACATTATGCCAGTGAGATTCATCCATATTGTTGCATGTTGTTGAACTTTGTTTATTTTCATTATAGTATTCTATTATGTGAGTATACTGCTAGTTATTCAGTTGTTGATGGGCATTTGGGTTATTTGCAGTTTGAGGCTGTTATAAAAAGTGCTGCTGTGAAAATTCTTGTACATGTCTTTTTCGGACTATATATACATATATACATATTCCTATCTATCTATACTTAGAAATGGAATTCTTGAATCATAAGGTATGTGTATGATCAACTTGAATAGATATCACAAGTTTCCGGAAATGTCTAAACGAATTTACATTCCTGCTTCCAATGTATTAGAATCCTGATTGCTCTACGTTCTAGCCAACACTTGACCTTATTTGTCTTTTTCATTTTAGCCATTCTGGTGGTGTGTAGTGGTATCTCATTGTGGTATTAATTTGCATTTCCCTGGTGAGTAATGAAATTGAGCATCTTTTCATGTGTTCATTGGCCATTTGGAAATCTCTTTTACAAAGTGTCTGTTCAAGTCTTTTGCCCATTTTTGGATTGGGTTGTATGTCTTTTTCTTATTGATTTATAGGAATATTCTGGTTATGAGTCCTTTGTGAGATTTACGTGATATAAATATATTCTGTGTCTTGACTTTTCTGTTAATGGTGTCTTTGTCTTCATTTTTATGTAGTCTATTTTATCTTTTTAAAATTTTTCTTTTTTCCTTTTATTGTTAGTGCTTTCTGTGCCCTGTTTAACAAAGTTTTGCCCATCCCAAGATAATATATTCTTCTATGTTTTTTCTGAGAACCTTGTGTGTGTATATATATATATACACACACATATTTACATCCACAGTCTTATCTGGAATTTATTTTTGTTTAGGGTGTAAGTTGGGAGTCAAGATTCTTATTTTTTTATATGGATATCTAATTGACCCAGCACCTTACTAAAAAGACCATCCTTTCCCCCGTTGCACAGCAGTGTCACATTTGTCATAAACCATGTGTGGGTTTATTTATGGGTTCTTTTCTGTTCCATTTATACATTTACCTGTTCTTGTGTCAATACTACATTATCTTGATAACTACAGCTTTGTAAATCTTGTTACCTAGTAGTATAAATCTTCCAGTTTTGTTGTACTTCTTCAAGATTGCCTTGGCTTTACTTGGCCTTTTGCAATTCCATGTAAATTTTAGGATCATCTTTGTGAATTTTTATAGAAAAAAAAAAGTGCTGAAATTTTGATTAGGATCTACAGATGAATTTGGAGAAGACCCAAAGTTTTATCCTTTTACTTAAGCTAGTAAAGCCAGCAGTTACTGAGGGAGAATTGAGGGGAGGGGGGATCAGAGCAAGTCACTGATACCATTTGGGGATCTTGTTTAAAATGTGTGTTAACTGGCCAGACACCGTGGCTCACACCTGTAATGCTAGCAATTTGGGAGGCTGAAGTGTACAGAGTGCTTGAGCCCAGGAGTTCAAGACCAGCCTGAGCAACATGGCGAAACTCTATCTCTACAAAAAGTAGAAAATTAGCCAGGCTTGGTTGCGAGTGCCTGTTATCTCTGCTACTTGGAAGGCCAAGGTGGGAGGATCACCTGAGTCCAGGAAGGCTGAGGCTGCAGTGAGCTGTGATTACACCACTGCATTCCAGTCTAGGCGACAGTGAGGCCCTGTCTCAAAATAAAATAAAATAAAAAACATAAAATAAAATATTAACTGTCTCCTGCTCCTATTCTGAATCAGCAGGTTCAAGATGGAGCTTAGAACCAGGTGCAGTGGCTCACACCTGTAATCTTAGCACTTTAGGAGGCCAAGGCGGAAGGATCATTTGAGCCCAGGAGTTTGAAACCAGCCTGGCCAACATAGTGAGACCTGTCTTTATTTAAAAAATAAAATAAACAAGATGGAGCTTGGACATGCTTATTGTAAAAGATGCTCCCCAAGAAATTATGGTTTGCTGCCATCACCACTGTTCTCCACCAACCCTATCTGAGAACCACTTAGACTGCAGTCTAGCAGCAATTCAGTAAGGCTAGTTAAGGTAAAATCTGACTGATTTAATCACCACCACATCGGCCTTTGGGGCTGTATTAGTTTCCTAGGCTGCTGTAACAATGTACCAAAAACTGAGTACCTTAAAACAACAGAAAGTTATTATTTCACAGTTCCTGAGGCTAGGCCTCTGAGATCAAGGTGTTGGCAGGACCATCTGTCTCCTGAAGCTCTAGGGAAGAATCTTTCTTTTCTTCTGCTCTTTGCTGGCAATCCGTGGTGTTCCTTGGCCTTGTAGCTGCATCATTCCAGTCACATGGCTGTCTTCCCTCTGTGCATATCTGTGTCCAAATTACTCCATTTTATTTTATTTTATTTTATTTTTTATGTATTTATTTTTTTTTTTGAGACGGAGTCTCGCCTGTCGCCCGGGCTGGAGTGCGGTGGCCAGATCTCAGCTCACTGCAAGCTCCGCCTCCCGGGTTTACGCCTTTCTCCTGCCTCAGCCTCCCGAGTAGCTGGGACTACAGGCACCAGCCACCTCGCCCGGCTAGCTTTTTGTATTTTTTTAGTAGAGACGGGGTTTCACCGTGTTAGCCAGGATGGTCTCGAACTCCTGACCTCGTGATCCACCTGTCTCCGCCTCCCAAAGTGCTGGGATTACAGGCTTGAGCCACCGCGCCCGGCTAAATTGCTCCATTTTATA